ATATTCCAGGCAAAAGTGTCTCCTTGGAGAGGCGAGTAGTGGCCCAACAGGATGGCACGCCAGTCCCACGGCCATCGGTGCCCGGGCACAATTTGCTGCCACACTCTATCCCACCATCTCCAAGTTAAGACAGTTGTCAGGCACTGTAGAAAGATATGCTCTATTGTTTCCGCTCTCAACTTCTTGGGGAAGTCCGACTGACAGCGTGAGCACCACGGCAGGGCCCGACCCTGTTGTTCCAGCTGGGAGTGATCTATCAGCCAATCGTTTGTAGGCAGACAGCGGTGCAGGATCTGCCACTGCAGTGACGTGATCTTCGCATGTCTGCACTTAGTGTCTGTAAACCACCGGATTGGTGTAAGGAGCTGCTGGTCCACGTCGAGGTGCCTCCGCCATCTATCCATCACGACGTCTTTCAGGCAGCGCTTGGCTCTGATCTTCCTATAGGTTGCTTTTACAAAAAGGTCCACCAATGCGGTGGAGGAGGATTGCCCCGTTTTGTGGCGCTCCTTATGGGTCCAGATCCATTCCCGTGGGTCCATGGGAAGGTCTTGTATGGCCAGCTCCGACATAAATGCCCTCCGGTTCTCTCCCTCCCCAATAATTCTAATCCGATATAGGGTCACCTTGGGGACCCATTGGAAGGGGACCCGGCTTCCTATTAACTGGCCATTTTCCTTTACCTGAAACCACTCTATGAGTGCATCCTCCGGTCAGACTTGGTGTACACACCCCACTGTAGCCCTCTCCCCATCCTTAGATACCCAGTCTCCATCCTGCAACAGTGGGCCTCTGCGTAGGATAAGCCGCCATCCCACCAGGAGGGCTTCTATGATGTCTTCCAACGCGGTTTCAATATTGTGACAATACCTCAGGCGCTCCTTCATCGCCTTCGGGCTCCGCCACTCATTTTCTTCTGCGTCCCATTCTTTCGATAATTTTTTTTTTTTTTTTTTTTTTTTTTTTTTGTTGAAAAACTCACACCAGTGTTAGTGCTGCTGATAAGAGCAGACACCACTAACACCTGGGGAGAGGCTCCATCTATTGGTGGGGAGCATCACCTGCTGGAAAATGGGTCCAACATCCCATATACAGACGATGAGAATGTCTGAGAATAGTGAGAACAGTGACCGTGAGGCTTGCCAGCATTGATTGCCCTGCAACCCAGGGGATTGACTGAGCAAGTCTATATAGTGCCCGACGGTGTAGCCTTTTGCCTGTACCTCTTCACCCTCAAAAGAAGGGCGCTTGATAATACCGTTAAGACTGGTACTATTCACCCTTGATGGCATGAACTAGTTGAAATTTCATCCTGGGTTATAGCGAAACTACTCACTCCAGACCATGCCAAATAAGAGACAGATATATACATCAGCGGAGTCCTCCCCGGGGGGCTCGAGGGATATGTGAACATCTATATGTACATATGTATGTACCTAATTGTATGTGTGTATGTCCAGTCCCTGAAAACTAGTCGGTAGTATCTCATCTCTTCCAAATCCCATAGCCCCTCTCCCCTGTCTCCACTCCATTCCACTTTTGCAATCCAACCTTCTCTTTCCCCTCCTACCCAGTTTGTACACAATGCCATAATCTGACTCCTAATATCTGTGGAGCAGCTCCATCTATTGGTGGGGATCACCTGCCGGAACAGACTGGGATTTGAGTATATAAAAAAAACTGTTACATACTAATTCCTCCCTCCCCCCGCCATGGATTTCACTGGGATCCAAAGTATTAACTGAGCAGAGATTTGATTTACCCAAAGAGGCTTTGTTCCACTAAGCTCAGCAAAGAGGGTGGGAACGGGTCTGCGAAGTCTGAGAGTGGCCGAAGTGTAATCGCAGGGTCGAGTGTTGTCCATTCATGGAAACAAAGCTCGTACTGCCTGTGAGCCATCTTCTGATCCCCTCCTTGCCTTTCGCTCTCTTTCACCATCCCCAACATCCCCTCGTTTGTTCCCCCAAGCCAGTTGCCACTGAATCGTTGAATATTCCGTTGGATTTCATTTGAGTCATGAAGGGTTGAGATCCGGATTTTCACCTGTTCCCACTGAGAGGAGATGTCAGCTTGTACCTATTGCTTGATGGTGTTTGTGAATTCTGGTCCAATCTGACTTTTTCCATCTCATGAGTGCAGCGTCGCCACCATAGGCCCCACATTACTGCCCTGCATCCTATTTTGAAGAGGTTGTGTGAGAAAGTGTTTAACTGGGGTGGATGCCAGGTTTCACAGAGGAAAGCTCTCTAGTCCCATGGCCATGGACAATTGGTGCCAAGTTTACTCCATATTCTGTCCCACCACCTCCAGAGTCAGACCACCCCAGGGCATTGTAGGAAGATGTGTTCAATTGTCTCTAGAAGTTTCCTGGCAGGAAAGGCCGAGGCACAAAATTTGCACCAGGGTAGTGCTAGTCCTCTTTGTTCAAGGGACGATCGGTCTATAAGCCAGTCGCTGGTTGGTAGACAGCGATGGTCAATTTGCCATTGTAGGGAGACCACTTTGGCAGGTATAGTCCATATCCTTTGGAACCACTTGATTGGGCGTAGTGACTCCTTACTAACATTTCGCTGTCTCCTCCATCTGTCCTCCACCTCGTCTCTGAGGTTAGTCTTTGGCCTTAGCATTCTATAGGTGGATTTGACCGATAGATTTTGTAGGGCTCGGATACACTTCATACTTTGCTTGTTGTGTTAGACCAGGTCCGATTGATAGGATCAAAGGGGAGGTTAGCGATTGGTGTATTCGGTTTGAAGGCTAGTTATCCCTTTTTGTGTTGTATTACTCTGATCCGGAATTGCAGGTTGTCCTGAACCCATTCCGTTATTTCTGGTTGGGGCCTGTGTAACATGTTGTCCTGTCCCAGTCTAAAGAGGCTGAGTAGGGACTCCCCCTTGCGGGTGTCTGTCAACTATACAGCCCACCCATTGGGGCCTCCCTCGTATGGCCACCCAATCACTCTCCTGCATGTTGCAGCCTTTTCGTAGGATCCGGACCCAATTCAGGGGGATCATTTCGATAATTTCATCCAGTGCTTCTTTTAAGTGGTGGCAATAGCGTAACTTAGTTTTTATCTCCTCTGGGGAGAGCCAGCCTTTTGTTGTTTGATCCCAGATATCCCCTATTCTCATTACTCCTCTTGCTACCCATCCTCGCTATGGAGAGTCCATACAGTGCGGGGATTGACCAAAAAAATCCTTAATCCATCTATTGTCAAAGAGGGGCTGCTGGCAGACTTCCATCTCGCTTGAGGGATTTTGACGGAGAGGGGTAGCTTGCGCCAGGTTTTCAGTAGGTTGGGCCAGAATGAGTCTCTCCTGATGTCCGCCCTCGCTGCATGGCGGTCTGATGTATGTGGGAGAGTCGGTGAGCGGGGCTGCGGGGACTCCCACGCAGGATTGACCATGACTTGTTTTCCAACCACATCATTGGGTCGGTGTCAGCTGGGGTGGCAGACGCTAATCTCGCTATTTGCTCTAGTGCTAAGGCTGCCCATGGGGTCTGTGGATTAATACTCCTATTGATTTTCATTTTGTGTATGGCGAATTGGCCTAATTTTCTTGCTCTTTGAGGACTACATGTATTGACTGAAAAAAGAAGAACTATCGTGCTTGCTGCTCTTGCCTTTCAACGAAACTCTTACCTGTGGGTGGAACTACTCTCGTGTTTCCCGTTCGTGCTGCTGGGTGGTGCTCTCCTCAGAAATCCCTGGATGTGGACGAGATGGGCATGGTTGTTGGGGATGTGGCGACATGGCTCCAAGCAATCCTTCGTAACCGGGGCGCTGCTTAAGTGTCTTGGTCAAGGAGAGTAGGGATTGACGCTATCATTTGATGGATCTTGCAATGAAAGGAAAATTAGTCGGTTGTTTTGTAGTGTTTTCACTGAAAGTGCCTTTGGTACATGTGAGTATAGAGGAAGAGGCGGGGATCATCTTAGATGATGGGCCTGATGCCGCAGCCCACGTTAGGTTTGTTGTTTCTGGATGAGCTCCGCCTGCTGGGTTTACAAAACTACATGCCGCACTAAATTATGACATAGAGTTGCCCTTTTGATGTTTAGGTGATTTGGGATTGATTACTGGTAGATTAGGGTTAATTTTCACATTAGATTAGGGTTGTTGGAACAGGATATGGGTTTACAAAACTCCATGCCGCACTAAAATACGGCATAAAGTTGTTCTTTTGACGTCATGGACGATTTTGTTACTGGCGTTGCGTACAATTAGGGTTTTTCGCATATTCTTTTTTTTTTTCTATGATGTGAGGGATGCCGGACCCGTTTTTTGGCTTTCATAATTCAAAAGCAGCCGTCGTATAAACCAGGCTGGAGTGCCTGGATCATACTACATTTGGCTGCCAGTGTTCTGGTATTAAAAAAAAAAAGAAAAAAAAAGTGAGGTCACGATACCAAATGCACGAGTAGATAACATGGGGGTTGGTAGGTAGCTAGTGTGAGGCAGATATTGAGAGAAGGAATTAGTGTAGTACATACAGCTGTCCCCCATATATGAGGAGGAGAGACCTCTTTTGTTTTGTTCTTTTTTATTCAAAAGGGAGGACACTTTTTTTTTTTTTTTTTTGTCTAATTTTGAAAAGGGTGACAACCTTAGGATATCATCATGGAGCTGACCAGCCTCCAGTAATTCAGAATTATTTTGTTCTGTTCATCTAATTGCAGCTGGATTTGAATTCAACAGTTCATGGGGTGTACCAAGTTACTACCAACTGATGTAGGGCCATTGGTATGTCCTTCCTCTTGCCTTTCTCCTATTCATTTGATTGCAACTCGGGTCTGTATTTCAACAGCTCATTGGGTGTACCATCTAGTTGGTATGTCCTTTGTTTTGCCATTCTTCTGTTCATCTCAATGCAGCTGGATTCAAACTTGGGTCTGTATTTCAAGAGTTCATTGGGTGTACGAACTGAGCTAGGCCAATTGGTAGGTCCTTTGTTTTGCCTTTCTTCTTCAACATAATGAGAAAGATAAGGAGAACTCACTTTGCTCTCAGACTGCTGCTGGCAGTCCTGCTGTCCGCAGGGTTGTACTGCCCTTCCGCCAAGAGTCCGCACTCTATAGCAACCACTCCTGTGCCCTGGGCATCACTTCCACTTAGCCAGAACATGGGACTGAAAGTCCCCAGCAACACTCCTTTCTGACCTAACTGCATGCCGGTCTCCGGAGGAACTGTGTCTGTGAAATGAGGAGGAGGAGGAAGATGAGGAAGAGGGGGAAGGAGGAGGAGGAGGAGGCGTTCCATTTCTTCCGCCGGCCACGTAGAAAGAGGAGGAGGGAGGAGGGAG